CCGGACTCCCTCTGGTCCCTGTGGTCCCCAAACCGGACTCCTTCTGGCCCCTGTGGTCTCCAAACCGGACTCCCTCTGGTCCCTGTGGTCCTCAACCCGGACTCCCTCTGGTCCCTGTGGTCCTCAAACCGGACTCCCTCTGGTCCCTGTGGTCCTCAACCCAGACTCCCTCTGGTCCCTGTGGTCCTCAAACCGGACTCCCTCTGGTCCCTGTGGTCCTCAAACCGGACTCCCTCTGGTCCCTGTGGTCCCCAAACCGGACTCCTTCTGGTCCCTGTGGTCCTCAACCCGGACTCCCTCTGGTCCCTGTGGTCCTCAAACCGGACTCCCTCTGGTCCCTGTGGTCCTCAAACCGGACTCCCTCTGGTCCCTGTGGTCCTCAACCCGGACTCCCTCTGGTCCCTGTGGTCCTCAACCCGGACTCCCTCTGGTCCCTGTAGTCCTCAAACCAGACTCCCTCCTGTCCCTGTGGTCCTCAAACCAGACTCCCTCTGGTCCCTGTGGTCCTCAAACCAGACTCCCTCTGGTCCCTGTGGTCCTCAACCCGGACTCCCTCTGGTCCCTGTGGTCCTCAAACCGGACTCCCTCTGGTCCCTGTGGTCCTCAACCCGGACTCCCTCTTGTCCCTGTGGTCCTCAAACCGGACTCCCTCTGGTCCCTGTGGTCCTCAAACCGGACTCCCTCTGGTCCCTGTGGTCCTCAACCCGGACTCCCTCTGGTCCCTGTGGTCCTCAAACCGGACTCCCTCTGGTCCCTGTGGTCCTCAACCCAGACTCCCTCTTGCCCCTGTGGTCCTCAAACCGGACTCCCTCTGGTCCCTGTGGTCCCCAAACCGGACTCCCTCTGGTCCCTGTGGTCCCCAAACCGGACTCCTTCTGGTCCCTGTGGTCCCCAAACCGGACTCCTTCTGGTCCCTGTGGTCCCCAAACCGGACTCCCTCTGGTCCCTGTGGTCCCCAAACCGGACTCCCTCTGGTCCCTGTGGTCCTCAAACCGGACTCCCTCTGGTCCCTGTAGTCCCCAAACCGGACTCGCTCTGGTCCCTGTGGTCCTCAAACCGGACTCCCTCTGGTCCCTGTGGTCCTCAAACCGGACTCCCTCTGGTCCCTGTGGTCCTCAAACCGGACTCCCTCTGGTCCCTGTGGTCCTCAAACCGGACTCCCTCTGGTCCCTGTGGTCCTCAAACCGGACTCCCTCTGGTCCCTGTGGTCCTCAAACCGGACTCCCTCTGGTCCCTGTGGTCCCCAAACCGGACTCCTTCTGGTCCCTGTGGTCCTCAACCCGGACTCCCTCTGGTCCCTGTGGTCCTCAAACCGGACTCCCTCTGGTTCCTGTGGTCCTCAAACCGGACTCCCTCTGGTCCCTGTGGTCCTCAACCCGGACTCCCTCTGGTCCCTGTGGTCCTCAACCCGGACTCCCTCTGGTCCCTGTAGTCCTCAAACCAGACTCCCTCCTGTCCCTGTGGTCCTCAAACCAGACTCCCTCTGGTCCCTGTGGTCCTCAAACCAGACTCCCTCTGGTCCCTGTGGTCCTCAACCCGGACTCCCTCTGGTCCCTGTGGTCCTCAAACCGGACTCCCTCTGGTCCCTGTGGTCCTCAACCCGGACTCCCTCTTGCCCCTGTGGTCCTCAAACCGGACTCCCTCTGGTCCCTGTGGTCCTCAAACCGGACTCCCTCTGGTCCCTGTGGTCCTCAACCCGGACTCCCTCTGGTCCCTGTGGTCCTCAAACCGGACTCCCTCTGGTCCCTGTGGTCCTCAACCCAGACTCCCTCTTGCCCCTGTGGTCCTCAAACCGGACTCCCTCTGGTCCCTGTGGTCCCCAAACCGGACTCCCTCTGGTCCCTGTGGTCCCCAAACCGGACTCCTTCTGGTCCCTGTGGTCCCCAAACCGGACTCCCTCTGGTCCCTGTGGTCCTCAAACCGGACTCCCTCTGGTCCCTGTGGTCCCCAAACCGGACTCCTTCTGGTCCCTGTGGTCCCCAAACCGGACTCCCTCTGGTCCCTGTGGTCCCCAAACCGGACTCCCTCTGGTCCCTGTGGTCCCCAAACCGGACTCCTTCTGGTCCCTGTGGTCCCCAAACCGGACTCCCTCTGGTCCCTGTGGTCCTCAAACCGGACTCCCTCTGGTCCCTGTGGTCCCCAAACCGGACTCCTTCTGGTCCTTGTGGTCCCCAAACCGGACTCCCTCTGGTCCCTGTGGTCCCCAAACCGGACTCCCTCTGGTCCCTGTGGTCCTCAAACCGGACTCCCTCTGGTCCCTGTAGTCCCCAAACCGGACTCCCTCTGGTCCCTGTGGTCCTCAAACCGGACTCCCTCTGGTCCCTGTGGTCCTCAAACCGGACTCCCTCTGGTCCCTGCACAGGTGAAGATGAATCTAAACAGATGTAGGTGAGACTGAATAAAGTGCTGTATGTTTTTTGTGGCACCACCTACATGTATAGGACAGACTTCAGGAGCTGAGCAGGGTAGGGCCTGGTTAGTGCTGTGATGGGAGACCTCTGAGAACAGCAGGTGCAGGAGGCGCCTCTCGTCAGTCTTTGATCAGATCAGCTGATTCAGCTTAGAGCCTCTGCAGCCACTGAAGCTCGAAGGTTCAGGAGGGGGTCAGGAGGGGTCAGGAGGAGGCAGGAGGGGTCAGGAGGAGTCAGGAGGAGGCAGGAGGGGTCAGGAGGAGGCAGGAGGGGTCAGGAGGAGGCAGGAGGAGGCAGGAGGGGTCAGGAGGAGTCAGGAGGAGGCAGGAGGGGTCAGGAGGGGTCAGGAGGAGTCAGGAGGAGTCAGGAGGAGGCAGGAGGAGTCAAGAGGAGGCAGGAGGAGGCAGGAGGAGGCAGGAGGAGGCAGGAGGAGGCAGGAGGAGGCAGGAGGAGGCAGGAGGAGTCAGGAGGAGGCAGGAGGAGGCAGGAGGAGGCAGGAGGAGTCAGGAGGAGTCAGGAGGAGTCAGGAGGAGGCAGGAGGAGTCAGGAGGAGTCAGGAGGAGGCAGGAGGAGTCAGGAGGAGTCAGGAGGAGTCAGGAGGAGTCAGGAGGAGGCAGGAGGAGGCAGGAGGAGGCAGGAGGAGTCAGGAGGAGTCAGGAGGAGGCAGGAGGAGGCAGGAGGAGGCAGGAGGAGGCAGGAGGAGTCAGGAGGAGTCAGGAGGAGTCAGGAGGAGGCAGGAGGAGGCAGGAGGGGTCAGGAGGAGTCAGGAGGAGTCAGGAGGAGTCAGGAGGAGGCAGGAGGAGGCAGGAGGAGGCAGGAGGAGGCAGGAGGAGGCAGGAGGAGTCAGAAGGAGGCAGGAGGAGGCAGGAGGGGTCAGGAGGAGGCAGGAGGAGTCAGGAGGAGTCAGGAGGAGTCAGGAGGAGGCAGGAGGAGGCAGGAGGGGTCAGGAGGAGTCAGGAGGAGTCAGGAGGAGTCAGGAGGAGTCAGGAGGAGGCAGGAGGGGTCAGGAGGAGTCAGGAGGAGGCAGGAGGGGTCAGGAGGAGTCAGGAGGAGTCAGGAGGAGGCAGGAGGAGTCAAGAGGAGGCAGGAGGAGGCAGGAGGAGGCAGGAGGAGGCAGGAGGAGTCAGAAGGAGGCAGGAGGAGGCAGGAGGGGTCAGGAGGAGGCAGGAGGAGTCAGGAGGAGTCAGGAGGAGTCAGGAGGAGGCAGGAGGAGGCAGGAGGGGTCAGGAGGAGTCAGGAGGAGTCAGGAGGAGGCAGGAGGAGTCAGGAGGAGTCAGGAGGAGTCAGGAGGAGTCAGGAGGAGTCAGGAGGAGTCAGGAGGAGTCAGGAGGAGTCAGGAGGAGTCAGGAGGAGTCAGGAGGAGGCAGGAGGAGTCAGGAGGAGTCAGGAGGAGGCAGGAGGAGGCAGGAGGAGTCAGGAGGAGTCAGGAGGAGTCAGGAGGAGTCAGGAGGAGTCAGGAGGAGGCAGGAGGGGTCAGGAGGAGTCAGGAGGAGTCAGGAGGAGGCAGGAGGAGTCAGGAGGAGTCAGGAGGAGTCAGGAGGAGTCAGGAGGAGGCAGGAGGAGGCAGGAGGAGTCAGGAGGAGGCAGGAGGAGTCAGGAGGAGGCAGGAGGAGGCAGGAGGAGGCAGGAGGAGTCAGGAGGAGTCAGGAGGAGGCAGGAGGAGTCAGGAGGAGTCAGGAGGAGTCAGGAGGAGGCAGGAGGAGGCAGGAGGGGGCAGGAGGAGTCAGGAGGAGTCAGGAGGAGTCAGGAGGAGGCAGGAGGAGGCAGGAGGAGTCAGGAGGAGTCAGGAGGAGTCAGGAGGAGGCAGGAGGAGGCAGGAGGAGGCAGGAGGAGTCAGGAGGAGTCAGGAGGAGGCAGGAGGAGTCAGGAGGAGTCAGGAGGAGTCAGGAGGAGGCAGGAGGAGACAGTCTTGATGTGGAAGTACCGTTTAATAATAAATTGAACGTATGGTGCACCTCTGTGAACACATACTGCTGTGCGAGGCGTCAGTGTTCCAGCGTCGGCGTCTGAACGCACCATAACCCTCACAACCCTCCTCCTCCCCATGACATCATTGTTACATTTACTTTCTCTTTAGAAGTTGCTGCTTCTGTTTTGGAAAAGAGAAACAAACTCACATTATATCAGAAAACATACAACAATAGTGTGTTTCTGAATCTCACAGAGTCCTCACCTTCTGCACCTGTGCTGCAGTCTGCATTTACACACTGCCCTCTGAGCTCGTGCTGCAACCCTCCTCCTCCCCATATCCTAATAGTGACTTGGCTCATGACTTCAGGCTCCCGTCTGAATTTTCACAAATCTGTTTTTGAATTCTCTTCAGGTCATGTTCTTGTGTTTGTGTAAACACAGAACCCTGAACCTGCCTCAGTCAGAAACAAATCACGTTTTAGCCAAGAATCTACAGGACAACGATGTTTTCAGTTTCTCCAGACACTGACTAGTCTCTGACATCTCCATTATGTGTGTGTGTGTCAGTGTGAGTGTGTGTGTGTGTGTGTCTGAGTGTGTGTGTCTGTCTGTTTGAGTGTGTATGATTTTGTGTGTGTGCGAGTGTGTGTGTGCAGGTGTGAGATTGAGGCGGATCAGTGCAGCGTCTGCAGTCAGAGCTGTATCGGACCGTGGTGGTGAAGAGGGAGCAGCGTCTGCAGTCAGAGCTGTATCGGACCGTGGTGGTGAAGAGGGAGCAGCGTCTGCAGTCAGAGCTGTATCGGACCGTAGTGGTGAAGAGGGAGCAGCGTCTGCAGTCAGAGCTGTATCGGACCGTGGTGGTAAAGAGGGAGCAGCGTCTGCAGTCAGAGCTGTATCGGACCATTGTGGTAAAGAGGGAGCAGCGTCTGCAGTCAGAGCTGTATCGGACCGTGGTGGTGAAGAGGGAGCAGCGTCTGCAGTCAGAGCTGTATCGGACCGTGGTGGTGAAGAGGGAGCAGCGTCTGCAGTCAGAGCTGTATCGGACCGTAGTGGTGAAGAGGGAGCAGCGTCTGCAGTCAGAGCTGTATCGGACCGTGGTGGTGAAGAGGGAGCAGCGTCTGCAGTCAGAGCTGTATCGGACCGTGGTGGTGAAGAGGGAGCAGCGTCTGCAGTCAGAGCTGTATTGGACCGTGGTGGTGAAGAGGGAGCAGCGTCTGCAGTCAGAGCTGTATCGGACTGTGGTGGTGAAGAAGGAGCAGCGTCTGCAGTCAGAGCTGTATCGGACCGTGGTGGTGAAGAGGGAGCAGCGTCTGCAGTCAGAGCTGTATCGGACCGTGGTGGTAAAGAGGGAGCAGCGTCTGCAGTCAGAGCTCCCTCACCTCTGATCATGAGCTTTGGATAATGACCGAAAGAACAAGATCGCACAGAGTGGCTGCTCCCTAGGGTGATAGGGTGAGGAGCTCGGAGTAGAGCCGCTGCTTCTTCACGTTGAGAGCTGCTGCGACCCGGCAACGAATGAAGCGGAAGAAAATGGATGAATGGATGATGTGGTGTTTGTTTGTGTGTCTGAAATGTGTGTGTCCAGCGTGTGGGTTCTGAATTGTGTGTGTCTGGCATGTGTGTGTCCGGCGTGTGTGTGTCTGAAGTGTGTGTGTCTGACATGTGTGTGTCTGAAGTGTGTGTTTCTGAAGTGTGTGCATCCGGTGAATGTGTGTCTGACATGTGTGTGTATCTGATGAGTGTGTCCGGCGTGTGTGTGTCTGACATGTGTGTGTCTGAAGTGTGTGTGTCTGAAGTTTGTGCATCCGGTGAGTTTGTGTCTGAAGTGTGTGTATCTGACGTGTGTGGGTCTGAAGTGTGTGCGTCTGAAGTGTCTCTGTGTTTGTGTGTCCGGTGTGTGTGTGTCTGTGTGTGCGTGTCTGAAGTGTGAGCGTGTGTGTCTGCACAGCGCTCTCTGCGTTCTCAGCCGTTGCCGTGGCGATGACAGAGGCTCACACAGCGGTCTGTAACTCACGAGTCGTGTCTGTGTTTGACACGTCCTTTTCAGGTCTTTGTCCAGAACTGATTTACAACAACACACACATTAGACCGACACACACAACAGACCAACACACACATTAGACCGACACACACAACAGACCAACACACACATTAGACCGACACACACATCAGACCAACACACACATCAGACCAACACACACATCAGACCCACACACACATCAGACCGACACACACATCAGACCAACACACACATCAGACCAACACACACATCAGACCGACACACACATCAGACCAACACACACATCAGACCCACACACACATCAGACCAACACACACATTAGACCGACACACACAACAGACCAACACACAACAGACCAACACACACATCAGACCGACACACACATCAGACCAACACACACATCAGACCGACACACAACAGACCAACACACAACAGACCAACACACACATCAGACCGACACACACAACAGACCAACACACACAACAGACCGACACACACATCAGACCAACACACACAACAGACCAACACACATCAGACCAACACACACATCAGACCGACACACAACAGACCAACACACACATCAGACCAACACACACAACAGACCGACACACAACAGACCAACACACACATCAGACCAACACACACATCAGACCAACACACACAACAGACCAACACACACATCAGACCGACACACACAACAGACCAACACAAACATCAGACCGACACACACAACAGACCAACACAAACATCAGACCGACACACAACAGACCAACACACACATCAGACCAACACACACATCAGACCGACACACAACAGACCAACACACACATCAGACCGACACACACAACAGACCAACACACACATCAGACCGACACACACATCAGACCAACACACACATCAGACCAACACACACATCAGCCAACACACACATCAGACCACACACACATCAGACCGACACACACATCAGACCAACACACACATCAGACCCACACACACATCAGACCAACACACACATTAGACCGACACACACAACAGACCAACACACAACAGACCAACACACACATCAGACCGACACACACATCAGACCAACACACACATCAGACCGACACACACAACAGACCAACACACAACAGACCAACACACACATCAGACCGACACACACAACAGACCAACACACACAACAGACCGACACACACATCAGACCAACACACACAACAGACCAACACACATCAGACCAACACACACATCAGACCGACCAACACACAGACCAACACACACATCAGACCAACACACACAACAGACCGACACACAACAGACCAACACACACATCAGACCAACACACACATCAGACCAACACACACAACAGACCAACACACACATCAGACCGACACACACAACAGACCAACACAAACATCAGACCGACACACACAACAGACCAACACACACATCAGACCGACACACAACAGACCAACACACACATCAGACCAACACACACATCAGACCGACACACAACAGACCAACACACACATCAGACCGACACACACAACAGACCAACACACACATCACAGACACACACATCAGACCACACACACATCGACCAACACACACATCAGACCAACACACACATCAGACCGACACACACAACAGACCAACACACACATCAGACCGACACACACATCAGACCAACACACACATCAGACCAACACACACATCAGACCGACACACAACAGACCAACACACACATCAGACCGACACACACAACAGACCAACACAAACATCAGACCGACACACACAACAGACCAACACACACATCAGACCGACACACACATCAGACCCACACACACATCAGACCAACACACACATCAGACCAACACACACAACAGACCAACACACATCAGACCAACACACACATCAGACCAACACACACATCAGACCGACACACACAACAGACCAACACAAACATCAGACCGACACACAACAGACCAACACACACATCAGACCGACACACACAACAGACCAACACACACATCAGACCGACACACACATCAGACCAACACACACAACAGACCAACACACATCAGACCAACACACACATCAGACCGACACACAACAGACCAACACACACATCAGACCAACACACACATCAGACCGACACACAACAGACCAACACACACATCAGACCGACACACACAACAGACCAACACACACATCAGACCAACACACACATCAGACCAACACACACAACAGACCAACACACATCAGACCAACACACACATCAGACCAACACACACATCAGACCAACACACACATCAGACCAACACACACAACAGACCAACACACACATCAGACCAACACACACATCAGACCGACACACACATCAGACCGACACACAACAGACCAACACACACATCAGACCAACACACACACCAGACCAACACACACAACAGACCGACACACAACAGACCAACACACACATCAGACCAACACACACACCAGACCAACACACACATCAGACCGACACACAACAGACCAACACACACATCAGATCGACACACACAACAGATCAACACACACATCAGACCGACACACACATCAGACCAACACACACAACAGACCAACACACATCAGACCAACACACACATCAGACCGACACACAACAGACCAACACACACAACAGACCGACACACACAACAGACCGACACACACATCAGACCGACACACACATCAGACCAACACACACATCAGACCGACACACACATGAGACCAACACACACCTCAGACCAACACACACATCAGACCGACACACATCAGACCAATACACACATCAGACCAACACACACATCAGACCAACACACACCTCAAACCAACACACACATCAGACCAACACACATCAGACCAATACACACATCAGACCAACACACACAACAGACCAACACACACATCAGACCAACACACACATCAGACCAACACACACATCAGACCAACACACACATCAGACCAACACACATCAGACCAACACACACATCAGACCGACACACACATCAGACCAACACACACATCAGACCAACACACATCAGACCAACACACACATCAGACCGACACACACATGAGACCAACACACACCTCAGACCAACACACACCTCAAACCAACACACACATCAGACCAACACACATCAGACCAATACACACATCAGACCAACACACACAACAGACCAACACACACCTCAGACCAACACACACCTCAAACCAACACACACATCAGACCAACACACACCTCAAACCAACACACACATCAGACCAACACACATCAGACCAATACACACATCAGACCAACACACACATCAGACCAACACACACATCAGACCAACACACACATCAGACCGACACACACATCAGACCGACACACACAACAGACCAACACACACATCAGACCAACACACATCAGACCAACACACACATCAGACCAACACACACAACAGACCAACACACATCAGACCAACACACACATCAGACCAACACACACAACAGACCGACACACATCAGACCAACACACACATCAGACCGACACACACATCAGACCGACACACACATCAGACCGACACACACAACAGACCAACACACACATCAGACCGACACACACATCAGACCAACACACACAACAGACCGACACACACAACAGACCGACACACACAACAGACCGACACACACATCAGACCGACACACACATCAGACCGACACACACATCAGACCAACACACACAACAGACCAACACACACATCAGACCAACACACACATCAGACCAACACACACAACAGACCGACACACACAACAGACCGACACACACATCTACCCACACACACAACAGACCAACACACACATCAGACCGACACACAACAGACCAACACACACAACAGACCAACACACACAACAGACCAACACACACAACAGACCAACACACACAACAGACCAACACACACAACAGACCGACACACACAACAGACCGACACACACATCAGACCGACACACACATCAGACCAACACACACATCAGACCAACACACACATCAGACCAACACACACATCAGACCAACACACACAACAGACCAACACACACAACAGACCGACACACACATCAGACCGACACACACAACAGACCAACACACACATCAGACCGACACACACAACAGACCAACACACACATCAGACCGACACACCCAACAGACCAACACACACAACAGACCGACACACACAACAGACCGACACACACAACAGACCGACACACACAACAGACCGACACACACATCAGACCGACACACACATCAGACCAACACACACATCAGACCGACACACACAACAGACCGACACA